CAGTCAGTGCAGGCAGGTGGAATCCAAGCAGCCAGTGCTTCCCGGCCAAGAGGCTGTGGCCACGGGAAGCAGAGGCGGCCGGGCTGGGGTGAAGAAGGGTGGGGCATGGGAAAACGTATATCGCTGTTTAGCGGTGGTTCTGTTTCCTGCTGGAAGCTCCGTGAAGCTGCTTTCTTGTACCCCCTGTTCACTGGTCTCTGATAGGAGTCCAGGATGGCAGATCCGTGCTGCGTTAGATGATAGGGGACCTCTGCATATATGTCTCCTCACTCTCTGTTCTCTGTCAATTTCTTATTCCATTTGGTGCTTGGCTGAGTTCTTTATCTCTTTATTTGATGTTTAGGGTTTCAGGATTGCTGTTTTCTCAGTTTGGCTTAGTTTTTTGGATCTTTGCTGTGGAGGGACGTTGTGGTGCTTCTACCTAGAGCACCATGTTGCCAGAAGTCCCCTTCCATATTTTTTTGATGCTTCTTGTTTTGTTCAATATTTTGATCATTGAATTCTTCAAAATTGCTATATGAGGCTTGAATTTTTCTTCAGTTCTGTCAGCTTGAGAAATGCTGAGTGTGTTTTTCCCTTTTCATTTTCTATGTCCAGGACTTTGCACATTTCATTATAATACTTTATTTTCATGAGACACCCTTTGAAGTCTTCTGTTCAGCCCTTTCACTTCACCATTTCTTCCATTCACTTTAGCTATTCTACATTCAATAGCAAGTTTCAAAGTCTCTTATGACATCCATTTTGGTATTTTCTTTCTTTCTTTTTAAAGACCTCTTGCTTTGGTTGTGTATGATGTTCTTGATGTCATCCCATAACTTGTGTGGTCTTTGATCATTATTGTTCCATGCTTCAAATCCATTATTGAGATGGTGTCCAAATTCAGGTGGGATATACTCAATGTCATATTTTCAGTCTTGTGTTCTTGTTTTAATTTTCTTCATTTTCAGCTTGAACTTGCATATGAGCAGTTGATGGTGTGTTCTGCAGTCATCCCCTGGACTTGATCTGGCTGATGATACTAGCTTTGCATGTTTTAGCTTTTCCACAGATGTAGTCAATTTGAATCCTGTGTTTTCCATCTGATGAGGTCTACATGTATAGTCACCATTTATGTTGTTGAAAAAAGGTGTTTTCAATGAATAAGTTGTTGGTCTTGCAAAATTCTATCATGCTATCTCTGGTGTCATTCTGCCATCAAGGCCACATTTTCCAATTACTATTCCTTCTTTTTTTGTTCCCAACTTTCACATTCATACATTCCATGTTTCTATTATTAATGGATGTTTACAGCTGTTTCTTTTCATTTTGAGTTGTGCCACATAAGCAAGTGAAAGTCCCCAAAACTTTACTCCATCCACATCATTAAGGTCAACTCTACTTTGAGGAGTCAGCTCTTTCCCAGTTGAATTTTCAGAGCATTCCAGCGTGAGGGGTTCGTCTGCTGGCACTATACCAGATAGTGTTCCACTGCTATTCGTAAGGTTTACACTGGCCAGTTTTTTCAGAAGTAGGCTGCCTGGTCTTTACTCCTAGTTTTTCTTATCCTGGAAGCCCTGCTGAAACCTGTCCACCATAAGTGACTCTGCTGATATTTGAAATACAAGTGGGTAGCTTCCAGCATCACAGCAACATGCAAGCCACCA